ATGAGATTGGCACAGGATAGAGCAGGGTTTAGGGCTGTTGTACATAGGGTCACTATGAGTCGCAAACAACTCGACGGCGCATAACAACAACAACAAACACAGAGATGACTTTAATAGCAGTGACATAGTATTGAGAGCTTTCTTTAAATCTCCTTTCACAGAATTCTTACTCTGTTCAATTCTTACTCTGTTCAAAGTAAAATATTATTGACTGTCAAGCTCTCTGCTAGATGTTGGACAGTAAAGTTCTCAAACCTAAGCACACATGAAATTTACTCAGAAGACTTGTCAAAGAACAGATTACTGGGTGCAACTTTCAGATTTTCTGTTCCGGGGGGTTTTGTGAGAACCCAAATAATTTCTAACATGTTTCCAGGTGCTAGTCCAGGAATAATTCTTTGACAACAAGGGGTACTAGTATATAAAAATGAGAACCAAATGCTCCGCTGGAGAAGGAAGGGTAATCGCCTCCTGTGCCAGTCTGATCTGATTTGACGGTACACAACAAGGGGGAAAAAAAGAACATATATTTTAAAAAAATGAGAACTAGGGAGCTCTGGTGGCCTAGTGGTAAGAAGCTGCATTGCAATCCCAGAGGTGCACTGTTTGAATCCACCAGATGCTCTGCTGGAGAAGGAGGGACAATCTTCTCCTGTACCAGTCAGATCCAATTTGACAGTACACACATACAAAATGATAGAATAATTTTTTTAAAAAGTGAGAACTACATAGTTTCTGCCTTTTGGGAGATTTTAAGGAAGGCAATGTTTATATTAAAAATACACAATAATAGGTATAATCATGTATATTTCTTATTCAATTAAAGGTAAACATCTCTAAGAGGTTGGCATTCCAAAAAGAAGGCTAAGGGAAGTTTTTAGTACAAGAATTACTTACTTGTGAGTATATGCTTAAAAAATGCATTTAACTAATTTTCTTCCTTTGTTTTCTACGTAGGTCATTGCTCTAACTTTAGACCTCAGTGAAGGTCTCCTGTATTGGCTAGTTCAAGATAGTGAATGTATTCACCTGTACACAGCTGTTTTACGGGGACAGAGGTAAGGAGTATTCTGCAAAAGCAATTGATTATGAGTCAGAGAAGACTATCTTGCCCCTTAGTTATAAGTAATAATGCATAAGCATTCACTGATTCTTTCTATATCAAACCAAATCAGTTGCCATCAAGTCAGTTCATACGTGGTGACCATTCATGCCAGAATAGAACTGTGCTTCATGGATGAATTTTTAGATAACCTAGCCTTCCTTCTGAGACACCTCTGGAGACATTTGAACCTCTAAACCTCCAATTACAACTCGCTGCTTTAGACCCTTACACCATTCAGAAACTCCATTCTTTCAGTAGCCATTTACAAGTGCCTCACTGTGTTGCAGGCATTGTGCTTGGCCCTAGAGCTCAATAATAAATGTCTTTAGGATTTTCTATTTTGTAAAAAAACAAAAACTAGATTTGTAAACAATGAATTATAATATGGAAGTGCTGCCAGGGGTTATGGAGAGAGTGTAGTGGAAATAATGAGTACAATGCTACTCAAGTCTATAAACACCAGTGCTTAAACATCACTTCCTCAGAGACACTCCCCGTAGTCCAGATTTAAGTTAAGTCTCCTTGTTAAGAAATCCATTCTGCTTTTCCCATATCTTTCAACATTGTAGTTATTTATTAATTACCTGGGTTTTTTCAGTTAGGCTCTGGTGGCTTAAGTGATAAGGAGTTGTACGGCCAACCCAAGGTATGCAGTTCAAATCTACTAGCCATTATGTGGGAGAAAGATGGCTGATCAATTCCTGTGCAATTTACTGCCTCTAAATACTCACTGGAGGGTCAGCTGTGAATTGGTTCCAACTGTACAGTACACAACAACAACATATGTCCTGTGAGGGCAGGATTAAATGTGTCTTATTGACTGTTGTATATCCAGTGGCTAACACATATGAAGGCAAATAATATGTATTGAATGAATGAGTGAACTAGTCCTCAATGAAATAATCTTGGATGATCTTATGAGCATCTCATGCATCATGGAGGGGTTTACAGTGCAAATGCCTCATTAAGATTTTGTGAATTGAACTTTTACTGAAGTCTAGCTTTTCTTGGTGAGTTGTTTTTTTTTTTTTATATCTCCTTTTGTGCATATCTTCATTTTTCTACCGGCCATCCGAATGTCTTTTTTCTTTTGTTAAGTATTTCTATGACTTTTGCCTATTTTGTTATCAGTCTTTTTCTTGTGGAAGCCCGATAGTATTCTGTAAACTTTTATTATGAAACCCTTGTCTGATATGTCATTGCCAAATGTTTTTGGTTTTTTTTCCCCCTAGGCAGTAAGTTTTCTTTTGACTCTGTTGGAAAAGGATTTTGATGCACACAGGGACTTAATTTTTAGAAGATCCTGTTCATCATTTTTTTTTTTCCTCTCTTGGTTGTGCATTTCTGGTTATATTTGCAAACCTGGAAGCAGATTTTCTCAATGCAACTCATCTTTTGATAGATATTCATATTTAATTTCTGAATTCTCCATTCTTTTCCACTGGTCTATGGTTCTATCATTATAGCAGTACCATGCTGTTTTGGTTACCTTGGCTATGTAGTAGGTTTTGAGACCAGGGAAGTATTATGCCTCTCACTTTTTATTTTTCAGAAGTACTTTGCTTACTTGGGGTCTCTTTCCTTCCCAAATAAACTTGCCAATTGCCTTTTCTATCTTTAAAAAAAATTAGTTTGGTATCTGCATTGGATTGCATTAAACATATAGATTGCTTTTGGTAGGACTCATTTTCACTATGTTGAGTTGTCCTATCCATTAACAGAATATTTTTCTATTTAAATAGACCTATTATTGTTTCTCATAATAGTGTTTTATAGTTTATTTCTAATTGGCTATTATAAATTATATTGCTTTTCTGGTTTCCTTCTCTGTGTTTTCTTTGTTACTGTAGAAGAATCCCATTGATTTTTTTCTTATATTGATCTTATATCCTGCCACTCTACTAAAATGATCTACTAGATCTAACAGTTGTAGTTTTGGTTTTGTTTTGTTTTAGCCTTTGGGGTTTTCTATGTATATTATCATTTAATCTGCATGTAGTAACAGTTTTATCACCTTTTTTCCAATTTAGATGCTTTTTATTCCTTTTTATTTCTTCCGGCTCCATGTCTCTGGCATATTCATTGGGTCTGCAATCTGATCTGCTTTGTAAGAAGAGGGCTTGTTTTATTTTTTCATAATGTTTGAAGCTGCATGCTGTTGCTTTTTTGATGTTATGTGACATTCTTGGTATGTGTGTGGCTGTTGTTGTGTCTGTGTGAGAGTTCTTTATCTTTATGATGTTATTAATCAGTTACAGACTCAAATTGTTCCCTTTTGGAGAAGGGCAGCTTGCTGGATCTTTCCTCTTTTTGTGCTGGTTATGTGTAGCAGAAAAGCTCACCTTTCCTAAATTCCTTCAAGTCCTCTCTGGTCTACAGCACAGCTGGTAACCAAATTCCTTTGGCTGATGCACTCGCTCTCCAGGGGAAAAGGGGGTGGCTCCTAGGATCTCTCTGTGCCCTCTCTAGTCTTAGGTAGCTTGGCAGTAATCTCATCTTAGTGTGGCCTGCTTACCCTAAAGTCTGTTATAATCCTAGATTGTCCCTAGCATAGTCAGTGACCTGGCTTCCTGGCTGATGCATTCCCTCTCCAGGAGAAGTAGGGGCGGCTCCTGGTACCTCTGTGTGCTCTGTCTGGTCCCATTCAGCCTGGAAGGATTTTTCAGGCTGAGTGCAGCCTGTCTCTCCTAAAGTCTATTTTCATCTTTAGTGGTCTATGGCATGACTGAAGGCCAAGTTCTCCTTTCAAGTCCAGCTTTTACCAGTTGTGGCTGCAAAGGTTTGACTCATTGACCTCTTGAAAGTGAGATGATAGTACTAAGGTTAGGCTTAACCCTCAACCACCCACTATTGGAAAGTTAATTTCTGACTCATGGTAACCCTCCATTGGTCTTCTAAGCCTCTTGTATATCTTAGAGCAGGAGGAGACTGCCCCATCTTACTCCCATGCAATAACTGTTAGATTTGAAGTGTCAATTGTTTGGTTGACAGTCTGGCAGGTAACCTACTATACAACCTGAGATCCTTGAGTACCAGAGGTCATAAATTTTGAAACAACCTATATGTGCTGGAGACTTTTAGGAGAAAGGAGTCTTTAGCTGAAAACAAGGTGCAATCCAAGCTAGTGGCTACTGAGGGGTATCCAAGCCCTACAGGGTTACCTGTGTCCTCAGGACCATTTTAGAAATGCTAAAATAGACAATCCTGAACAATGTTGGCATGAGCACGTCTGTGGATAATAGGCTATAACAACTCTGGGGATAGATCCTCAGGCCAAGTGCATCCTTGTTTTGTTGTGGGGTCCTTTAAAAAAATTTTTTTTATATAAATCAGAGATGTAAAAAAAAATTTAAAAAAAACCCCATAACAAAACAAAAACACAGTCTCATTAAGCCCAGACCCACTGCCTAATCAGTTTCAATTTCATAGTGTCCTCTATTGAGCTTTGCGAGGCTGAAAAGTCTTTGGGTAGAGACTGTCCATGTTTCTTCCAAGGAGCTGGTAGAGTCAAACCACTGGCATTTGGTTAAAAACACATGGTAAGCCCTGTACCACCAGGGCTCTTATCTTACTTCAGACACACTGGTGTTATGTTTTGGCAGTGTGGATGATCCTATCATCACAGAATTTGCAGCCTGGAGTACTTCAGAAATTTCCCAGAATGCACTGATGTACTACAGTGGTCGACTCTTCTGGATCAATGGTTATAGGATTATCACCACCCAGGAAATAAGTCAGAGAACCAGTGTCTCGGTTTTGGAACCAGAAAAATTCAACCAATTCACTATTATTCAGACAGCTCTCAAACCTCTACCAGGTACAATGTTTTCTCCTGCCTCTTCCCCTCTTCTTCCACAGATTTCAACCAATATTGGATTTTTTTTCCCCCTACAGAATAATGTTTTCCAAAGAAAAGGCTTTAATAGTTTCTGTTTGCTATTTTGTGTTTTGTTTCATTTTACCTGAGATTAGAGGGCTGAAAAAAAAATCAGAAAAAGATGATTTCCATGATATGATAATGGATGATTTTGTTCTTTTTCAGATTATTAGTAGTTTTGTTAATTTGTCATGATTTTTATGATGACTGATGATACTAAGTCTTTCTTTCTATCTTGTAGGGAACTTTTCCTTTACTCCTAGAGTTATTCCAGATTCTGTTTTAGAATCTTCCTTCAGGATTGAAGGAAATGCTTCAAGCTTTCAGATCCTTTGGGCTGCTCCTCCTGAGGTCGACTGGGGTGAAATTTTCTACAGTGTGGAACTTAGCGCTCCTTCTAAGGTATGGCTTAGCTTCTATTACCATCCACTTCTGAAGCAGACTGTGTCATATTGCATCTGCCCTGCCCTCACTGTTTGTACTTTTTCTTCTCAGTTTAGGCTGTCTCCTTTGCTGGTTCTACATTTTGCCCATAGGATTATTCTTGAGAATCGTGTTTACAGCCAGTGTCTGTTTTGTGTTAACTGCTATGCTAGCCACACTTTAACTGGTTTGTGGGGTAAAACCCGGGACTTAGTAAAAATTGTTGTTGTATATTCTCAAGTCGGAACCGATCCATAGTTGACCCTCCAGTGGGTTTTCATTGCACGGGAGGAGATTTCCCTTCTTAAGCAGAGCAGCTGATGGATTAGAACCATGTGCCTTTGGAATTATAGCACAGCTTTTTACCACTGACTGGGCCATTTTTTTAAAACTGCAAGTTTTTATTTTGCATGTGATCTAAAATTTGGAAATTTTGATTAACTAGAAAAACAAACGTGTAATTATTCTCTTCCTAAGAAAACAATATTATATGCTTTTATTTTAGTTTCTGGCTAGTGAACAACTGTCTTTACCTGTACTTACTGTGGAAGGACTGGAACCCTATGCCTTATTCAACCTTTCTGTCACTCCTTACACCTACTGGGGGAAAGGCCTGAAAACATCTCTGTCACTTCGAGCACCTGAGACAGGTATAGGGGTTAAAAATACTCTTTTAAAAAAGATAGAAAAACTATTTCAATGATTCAAAATATTAAAAAATAATCAATGATGTCAAATGGAATTTTAGAAACTATTAAAAAGAACATTCTCTTTTATAGATGCTATATCCTGACAATAACATTTTGGAGAGCTTCATACTAAAATAACTCCAGTAATTTCTTCCAAAATAATATTTTAAATTATGAAAGAACGTATCACTTTAACCATCTAAGATGCAGAGACACAATTTAGGTATTTGTGAAGAGATTCAGGGGGAAAATGGGCCTTTTGAAGCAAAGGCAGGTTTATCAAGAGGGGTTCTCAGAGTCCTCTTGGGATGAATAATTGATGTCTAAATATTTTTTTCAATTAATATCTTGGGAAAAGTGAAGCTGGAAGAGTGCTTCTTGAAGGTGAAGATGGCAAAGCTTTTTCCACTAGGAGAAGCTAATCCTTGGAAAGGGACATCACGCTTGGAATGGTGGAGGGTCAGTGAAAGAAGGGGAGACCCCCAACAAGGTGGATTAACACAGAGTGATTGCTTTGAAGGTCTCAGGTGTGTCAGGAATTATGAGGACAGCACAGGATAGAACAGGACTTGTGTCTGTTGTTCTTAGGGTCGCTATGTGTTATACTTGACTCAATGGTGCCTAACAACAACAAAATTAATATTTTTTTTAAGTTTAAAAGTCACACCATTATCTTTAATGTATGAATCATTTTAAAACTTACCTGATATGTTAATATGCATTAAGGATTTATTATATTCTTACCTCATATAAAAACATCACTTAATTTGATTCTTACACTGCTCTGAAGCATATAGATGTTAGCCTTTCTATTGTTATTGTTGTTTTTGATTGCCTTCAAGTCGAGTATGATTCATAGCGACCCTTTGAACAAAAGGCCTGAAGCCTTTCTATAACCATCGACATTTATCAAAGTTCGTAGAGTTTCTGGAGGCATGTTGTTTATGAAGTGGATGCCACTCCTGCTTCCAAAGTCTTTCTATCATGCAAGTGAAAAAAAAAAAAGGAAACCCAGTAGATGTCTAATGTAAAAATAACTAGTAGGTGGCGGGACTTCTTACTACAATATTATTAATCTTCAGTCCTTTTTAGAAATGTAGATAAACCATAGTATTATACTATTGTTGTGCATTGTTGTCAAGCTGAAACCACCTCAGAGCTGCCCCACTAGTGAGTTGTCAAGAGTCTATAAATCAGAAATTGCCCATCTTTCTCCCACGGAGCAGCTAGTAGATTTTAACCAACTGCCTTTGGGTCGGCAGCACAACTCCTTACCCACTAGGCCACCAGGTTTCCCTGTAATATTGAATTAATTTATTTAAATGTCCTCACACAGGACTTGTCAGGCCTTAAGAGCTTAATGAACATAGATTTCCAATCACTACTACATTTCATGTTGTCAAAATTTTTCCAACACTATTTATCCACAAATCTCACAGAAGGAGCATAGAGGAGACCTGACAGATTGTAGAACTAGCTAGCATTTGGAGCAAGGTATGCTCTGCCCGACATTGTCTTGGGATGTCATCTTTGATTGAACTATCTTGTGAAAATGGATCTGACTGTATCCATCAGGGGATGCACTGTATCCATCAGGATCAGCTTCCCTCCACTGGATGTCAGAGGCAATATGGAAGAGTGATGGGAATTGGACTTTGTTCTTAAGATGTTCTCTGTGATAGAACTCATAAATTAAGAGAGAAGGGGACAAAGATAACTACTGATAATAGATACAAGACAGGGATAGGTGAGCAGTGATTGCATAGTGAGAATAGACAACTCTATGAGTCTTCATTTTTATAAGAAACTTTAAATTCTTAGGAAGAGATAAAGAAGGCCTGCTATGGCCCGGAGAGACCTTTAATGAGTGGAGTGTAAATATCAACTAGTGTCTGAGGAATGCTGCAAGAATAACTATCTCATTGAAGAAGTATAAATATAAGAAAGCTGGAGATTTAGTTACAGTATAAATGTGCAGCATTAAGAAGCAATGTGATTGGAATAGAACAGGGAGAGTTTACCCTGGAGAAAAGTTTCAAGAAAAGGTACCTTTAAGGTGGATGTCTTGGTAATCAGGCAGATTATTTTTTTTTATTAAAAGATTGAGATAGACTTTAGAGGGATTATAAAATAATGAAAGAATTTTTCTTTTACTTTTCAAAGAGAAGAGCAAACTGGGGGGAGGTTGGGCAGGGAGAAAAGTGCAACAATGAATGAATGGAAATCCAAAGTCTCTGTAAACTTTCATTAAAATTAATAAAAGAAGATCGAGATAAACTAAATTTGTTGGTTTAGCTAGCGAATAAATGGTAGCTCTCCTCAGAATCTCAGACCATGGTCCTATGATGCTAGTACCACTCTCTCAAACTTCTACCTCCTAGGATAATTGAAGGTGAGATGACTTGAGTCCCTGGCAAGTTATATATATATATATAGATATTATTTTTAGATATATATTTTATATTTTTAGATATATTTTAGTTTACCCTAAAGTGAAGTGGTGTTGTTATTGGGTACCATAGATTTGGAACCAACCCATACCTCCACTGGGTTTTCAGAGGCAGTTAATCACATGGGAGGAGACTGCCCATCCTTCTCCCATGGAGTGGCTGGTAGCCTTAAACTATGTGTCTTTGTGATTACAGCACAACTTCTTGCCACTAGGCCAACCAGTGTTCCCTTAAAGTGCAGTAGTACAATAAATGTTGGCTATTCTCTTAAAGGTTAGCAGTTGGAATCCACCATCCCCTCTCTAAGATTTATGACTTCAGAAAACAGAAGGTTGCTATGAGTTGGAATCAATCAGATGACAATGAATTTAGGTCTAGATAGAGTACAACTTTTCTTCCTAGTGACAACAGTTCCTTTCTCCAACTTCATCACTAGGGCAAGATGAGACTGAATATTGCATTTTGTAAGAAAACCCATCCACCTACACAGGGCATAGATAAGAAAGATAAGGTAAAAAGAGGAATTTGGAATGTTTATAAAGATGTCTTATCTGCAAGTTAATATTTAATTATGCAAAACAGGATAAGGTTCTAAAGGAATCTATGGAATATTCTCTCCTTACGTTTTGCAAAAGGGATAAACATCACAGCTCTCTGGAATGAGAAATATTTACTGTTCAATTGATCCACACTCTTTATCACAAATGATAAAATCCAGCCTGATATCCTTTTTTGCCCTTATCTGTGCATCTGCTTTTCAGTTCCATCTGCACCAGAGAATCCCAGAATATTTGTGCTACCAAGTGGAAAATATGGTAACAAGGATGAAGTTGCAGTGGAATTTAGGTGGAACAAACCTAAGCATGAAAATGGTGTGCTAACAACATTTGAAATTTTCTATCAAATATCCAATCAAAGTAATGAAAACAAAATATTCAAAGACTGTATTGCTGTCAATGTCACTCCCTCCACAGTGTCTTTTCAACTGAAGGGATTGAGACCTGAGTCCATTGTTTACTTCCAGGTATGAAAATGAAAGTGGGGCTTTCGGGGTCCCATAATTGTAAGGGACTGGGGTAGGTAAGTACTACATTCTCCTATGTCAATAATGTGAGGTCGCTGTGATCATGGGGATGAAGTGGACAGTGGAGGTACAAGACAGAGGATAAAGGACAGCTAAAGCAAAGGCATTCTAACAGCTTTCTTATACTCAGGATACTTCCTAGATACAAAGTCAATCATATTTTTTTTTAATTATTGCTTTAGGCCATGCACCCTGTGTTATTGTGGTGGTATACTATAGAGTTGGAACTGGTCCATAGCTGCCCCTCTAGCAGGTTTTCAGATGCAGTTAATCCCACAGGAGATTGCTCATCCTTCTCCCATGGAGCAAGTGGTGGCCCCGAACCCTGTGCCTTTGGGATTGCAGAGCAGCTTCTTGCCACTAGGTCATCCGAGCTCCATTATTTCATTTGAAAGGCACTCCAGTGGCCTAGTAGTAAGGGATTTCACTGTCAACTTGAAGACACTGGATTCAAATCTGTAAGCTGGCTCTATGGGGGCCATCTCCTCCCATGCAATTTACTGCCTCTGAAAATCCACTAGAAGATCAGCAATGGGCTGGTTCCAACTCAAAGGTACATAACAACATAATAACATTCATTTGACCCCCCATACTGTAAAGAAAGAATAAAATCCTGGGTGTATCAGTCAATTATCAAAGTTACATTACTGTAGAGATTTGGTCGCCTGCTGGGTAAGGCAGGCAGTTCAAATCTACCAGCCACTGCATGGGAGAAAGACGGACAATCTCCTCCCTTGCAATTTATAGCCTCTGAAACCTATCTGTGGGCCAGCCATGCATTGATTCATTCTCGATGGCAATGAGTTGGTTTAAGTGGACATGACTACTATATGTTGTGAGTCTGTCAATAATGTGTATCAAACTTCTAGGTTTGTTTCCATTATGTCCTACATCGTGGATCAACTAGGTGCTTTGAACTGTCAGTGGATGTAAGAGCTGAAGGTTGGAGAATTTACATTTAAATGGTACCAGGAGAAAATCAGAGAAAATAGCAGTGAAGAAAAAAAAGACTACTATTACTTCCAGTTTAATGTTTTATATTTCCTGTGAAATATCTTTCCATTTATAAGATAGATTACTCATTGGTTTTTATTTACCTTCCATAAATATTAGGTTGATAACAACATTGTGTATGTTTATAGAGTTATTTTCCTTGCGAAATATATAATGGAGTAACTTGGGAGTAAATAAGGTTTTGATGCTGCTCTAGAATTGGGGGGGTTCCTAAAAGTCTTTCTTTGTCTTTTTATAAACTTTCAATTTACCAATTGTTTTGATCACTTGTAAGCTTTACATATATTAATTTTTTTAAAGTTTTATTTATATTGATTTACAAAGTACCAATACATTTTTTTCACACAACATCTTTCTCATTTCCTTCAACCCCCCCACCCCTGTACTTCAAATTGTGTAACCCTATGATTTTTTTAAAGTAATTAAAATTACACAGTCAAATGCCTTTGCATAGTCAATGAAACACAGATAGACATTCCTCTGGTATTCCCTGCTTTCAGCCAAGATCCATCTAACATCAGCTACAATATCTCTAGTACCACGACCCCTTCTAAAACCAGCCTGGACTTCTGGTAGTTCTCTGTTGATGTGCTGTTCCAGTCGTTTTTGGATAATCTTCAGTAAAATCTTGCTTGCATGTGAAATCAGTGAGATTGTTCCCAGAACACTTGATCGTTCTAATGCGAAACTTATACTTGGACCAGGAGGCAGTCGTCAGACAGAGCAAGGGAACACTGCATGGTTCAAAATTGGGAAGGGTGTACGCCAGGGATGCATCCTATCTCCATACCTTTTCAACCTATATGCAGAACAGATTATCCAGGAGGCTGGGCTCTATGAGGAGAAATGTGGGGTCAAGATTGGTGGACGATTTATCAACAACCTGCGTTATGCGGATGACACAACCCTGCTTGCTGAAACTGAAGAGGACCCGAAGTGCCTGCTGCAGAGTGTCAAGGACTGCAGCCTACAATATGGATTGAGGTTCAATGTCAAGAAGACAAAGATTCTCACCACTGGACCAATTGACAGCATCAGGATGGATGGTGAAGAGATTGAGATTGTACACAGCTTTAGTTTGCTTGGCTCTGTAGTCAACAGTCTTGGCACCAGCAGTCAGGAAATTAAAAGGCGCATTGCTATGGGAAAGTCTGCTGTTAGGGACCTCTCCAAAGTACTGAAGAGCAATGGTGTCTCTCTGGAGACTAAGGTGCATCTGATATAGGCTATGGTCTTCACAATCACTTGTTATGCATCAGAGAGTTGGACAATGACCAGGGAGGATAGAAGGAGAATTGATGCCTTTGAGCTGTGGTGCTGGAGAAGAGTATTGAGAATACCATGGACTGCTAGGAAAACAAACAGATTTGTCCTGGAAAGGGTTAAACCGGGTGGCTCCTTGGAGGCAAGGATTCTGAGGCTCCATTAACATACTTTGGACATGTTGTGAGGAGAGACCAGTCCTTGGAGAGGGACATCATGCTTGGAAGGGTGGAGGGACAGCACAGGAGAGGAAGGCCCTCTATGAGGTGGATTGATTCAGTGACTGGGATAATTGGGATGGGAGTGTCAGAGACAGTGCGATTGGCACAGGACAGAGCGGAGTTTGGGGCTGTTGTACATAGGGTCGCTATGAGTCGCAAGCGACTCGATGGCACATAACAACAACAACAAAAATTAAAATTACAGATAAACTATATTCTTATTTATAAGAATTACATGGGTTCTGGTTAAGTCTGTCTATACAGATATAGCTTCAAATCTCCCTCACCGTGGAACCATGCAAAAATGAGGTCACAGGCTGGATATGCATGGATTTCAGAGCACACAGTTCTGAGCAAAAACTGCTTGACAGACACATACTGCATAGATAGTTAAGTAGGATCTATTTCCTAATCATTGACATTGGCTCTGGTCCAAATATGATGACCCTGCAGAAAAGAGTCATCGGAGAGAGAGATGGCAAAGCTTCACCTCACATTCTTCGGACATATTGTTAGGATAGGCTATTCCTTGGAGAGGGACATCATGCTTGGAAAAGTGGTGGTTCTTGTTGTGAGATGCCATCAAGTCAATTATGACTCATATCGATTCAATGAGCAACAGGTCTGAAACCTGTCCGATCCTGGGCCATTTTCACAATCTCCAACACAATCAAGCCCACTGCTGAAGTCACTGGGTCAATCGAGAAAAAGATTCTCCACCAGATGGATTGACAAAGTAACTGCAGCAATTGGTTCAAGTATGTCAGAAATGATGAGAACGACACAGAATAGGACCAGGTTCAGATTTTTTGTTTGTAGGGTCACTATATCTTACTTGACTCCAACAATAACAACAGAAAAGATTAAATGTATAATGAAAATAATTCAATATTTTTTGTTTTTATAATTGATATTTTAACAAAAGTTTACAGAAAACTTGGATTTCCATTTATTCATTATTGAGGAATATACTGAGTCATTGTATAGAAAGGAATTGGCAGATACAGAAGAATTTAATAAAATAACATATGAGCAAGAGCCTCTGGTGATGAAGGAAGAAGTTCAAGCTGCTTTGAAGGAAATAGCAAAAAATAAGGCCCCAGGAATAGATGGTATACCAAT